CCTCTTAAAAATCACCACCACCACTGCCACCGCCACAACTTCACTCTCCTTGCCAGGATAATGCAAAATCTGGACTATAATAATTTCACAGGCTTTGCAAGAAGGCATACATAAAACTAAGAAAACACCTTCCGAAATGAGCTTTCTTATTACTTGGTTTGTAACGCAACTAACTGCAGATTTGTGTGCATTTCAATTTATTGAGGGCCTAACACCAGCTCCCATCCTCTTCCCTAAAGTGAGAAGTAGGTGGTTCTGGGGGGAATTACTTTTAATGTTAAATAACGCCTTGTCCTATAAATGGTCTCACTTTATTTCTGATGGATATTAAGTCTGCAGAAACTTTCTACTGATACTTGAGCTCAACTGGACAGGTCTACTTGAGGAATCAAATGTCATTTTCTTAGATTAAAGGAGACAAAAATCAGGCCACGTGCAAACATATAATTTTTTTTTTTTTTGTAACACATCCCCTTAAACACTGCTAATTGACAGAATCTGGCTAATTCTATATTTTTGCTCTGGGTATTGTTTCTCTATTACAAGAGAGGCTCTCAGCAGTAAGGTAAATTTATTAAGGTTGAATCTACAGGTGCCTTGCTGTCCTGGTTTGGGCTGGAATAGAGTTAATGTTCCTTTTCGGGAACTAGAAGAGTGCTGTGTTTTGGATTTAGCTTTGGGTTTGGTATGAGAAGGATGCTGATAGCACACTGATGTTTTCAGCTGCTGCTGAGACTTCAAGGTCTCTCCGACTCCCCGTGTCCTGCCCGTGCGCAAGGGCACAGGGAGCAGGGAGGGAGCACGGCCAGAGCACCAGACCCAAACTGGCCAGTGAAATATTCCATATCATGGAACGTCATGCTCACTGTATAGAGGAGGGGTGGTCGGGAAGGGGCTCTCTCTCTCTCTCTCTCTCTCTCTCTCTCTCGCTTCTGGGATTGTGATTGTGGGATCTTGGTATCTCGGGGTCGCTGGCCGGGAACGGGCTGGGTATTGGTCAGCCGGTGGTGAGCAATTGCATTGTGCATTTATATTTTCTATTACTGTCATTGTTTTCAATTTATTACCATTATTAAACTGTTTCTATCTCAACCTGCAAGTCTCCCTTTGCCCCTCCAATTGCCTCCCCCATTCCCAGGCTGGGGGGGAGGGTGGGTGAGCGGCTGCGGGGTGGCTGGCTGCCGACCAGGCTCAAACCACCACACTTGCCTTCTGTAGAAGTGCTTTAACTTACACTACTGCAGCACCGTTCCCAGCACATCTTGTGTGGATTATTAAGTCTTTGACTAACCACTGCTTTTAAACTCTCTCGTACAACAGGAAAGTTTCTGAGTCAGGGATGGATTTAGCCAGCAGCTTAGCTTTATAAGAACATGGCACGTGTTCTCGGGACTTTTCTGGAAGGGAGCCGCAGGGAGGGCGAGGCACACCTTTCCTGCAACGTGCAGGTGGCAGGTGATCCTGCTGGAAGTCACAGCCAGGGTTGGACACCGCCCTTATGTTCTTCTTAAGGGTTTGTGCTGCTTCTCCCCACTGCAGGTGATGGATTGGGGATCTGCCACGAGGAGAGCTCAGTCCTGCCCCCCTCCCCGTGACCGCTGGTGGAAGAGGCAACGCCATATGGACCTCCGTGGAGCATCACATGGAGCTGATGCTGGATTTCACTGTGGGCTCTCCGACAGCATTCTGCACATGCGGGTCCCTCTCCGTTGTTTGCAGGGAAGTACTTCTGGCTCCAGGGGGAAATAAAGGTGGGTCTTCAGTATGCCATTTCCAACTTGGGTGGATTGACACTTCTGTTCCTAAGGAGTGCGCATCAGTTTTATAGCTTTCTTAAAATGTTCTTGGTGCTTTCTGAGGGGGGATCTTGTTTTCCTGTTACTTCCCTCTGCCTGTCTCTCGAACATATATGCAAAATATGCACAGTTTTTAGTAAGATGGATTTTTTTAAATTATTATTGTTTTTTTCATTTACTCTCAATGGACATTTTGGGGGATTGGAACATGAAATTTTAAGACATCTATGACTTGTGCCTCATCAGCTACACTCAGGGATAGCATCCCTTCCATTCCCTTAAGGACCTGACACTGTTAACACTTTATTCTGGGATTTATGTGAAACGCACCTGTATTGTGTAACTTGGCCAGCAGCAGAAGGCCAGACAAGATCCCAACAAGGAAAGAAAGGCAACCTGTAAGGTTTTGATGAGGAAAAGGAGATACTAGATAAGGACCAAAGTGACTTCTGAGAGGGACCTGGAGAAATGTCCTCTCTGTTCTTTTTGGAGATATCCAGAAGTTATGAGAAAACCTAGAGGGGAAAATCTTCTGAGTTCATTATTTGGAAAGGAAGCCTCGCCTTTTAGAATGTGGAAAATGACTTCCTGTAAAATGCATTTCTCTGTTCTCCAGAATCTCTTTGTTCTTGAGCAACAGGTTAGTTGCAATTACCAGCATACTGTATGAAGAAAGCAGTGTGATATTGTTACGGGGATTATTAATAACAGGAAGAAGAAAAATTCTGTCACTGTCTCAATGCCAGAGGGAGTGAAGAAAATTTATTTTAATATGAAACTATGCAAATTGTAAATGGCAATTAATATCTTCTTTCTGTAGACTAGGCTAAAGTCTGAGTTTCTTACTCTCTTTATATCTGATTCTGCTCCATCAGATTCTTACCGAGGCTTTGGCTTTATGTGCTTATCATTAACTTGGTTTTAATAAATAAGCGTAGCACATGTAGATATACATCAACTTCTCTGGTAGCTGCAGAGCACGTAGATATTCACAAGCCTCATGTTCTTCTCATGCATGACGGACTTTTGCACACGTAAGCACCTACGGTAAGAAAGCTGGGGGCCTCATGCAGCACCGGGGAGCCCTGGAGTCGGGGCAGGAGGAGACTGGCCACGTGCAGCCTCGGGGCTGCACCACAGCCCTGTGCCAGGGCCTGCAGCTTCCTTCACCTTCAGTCAGATAAATAATCGCCGTGCCACACCGGCTGCCTGCCTATCGAAATCGGGACCAGGAGATGCTTACCAGGAAAGCAAAGTCAAATTACCTGTTGCCTCTCCCGCTCCGACCTCCCTCCCTGCACAGCACCTGACTGACAAGCCACGCACGAAACACGGGTGCTGGTGCCTCCTCGTCCGCCTCCCTCTCTGCCCCGCGTCCCTCTGTCTCCCTTATCTCCTCATTTTTGGCGCTGGGCTGCCCAGAGAACAGCCTTGCTGCAGTGGAGATGGGGCCCCAGGACACCGGTTTCGCTGGGAGACCCCCGGGAGGGGTACCCTCTTGCTGCTGCAGCCCACGGCCAGCCTGGCAGGGCGCTGCTGACCGCCTGGGGCACCGGCAGAGCGAACGCCTCGGGGAGGTGCACAGGGAAATGGTTTTTTTCCCCCTGCAAAATTCAGAGGCAGCCCCTGATGCCCTTCGGGACGGGAGAGCCGTCCCTCCCCTCATCGCAGCACTGGGTGCACAGACGGACACGCTCACGAGTGCAGGGCCCGTGGGCAGCACGAACGCCTTTCGGGCCTTTCATGCACACCTGGACACCGCACGAACATCAGAACTCCCTCCCACCACCTGCAGAGCCCCTGCAGGCTGATTCCTAAGCCTTGACACCATGTTGGCCTTGGTTTTGCTCCTTCAGCAACAGCAGCAAGACGTGCACTGCACAGGCAGAAAAATCTTCTCTTAGAAACAGCGCACACGTGCGCGTTTGCTTTTCAGAGGACAGTGCTGATCTGGGGCATTTCATACCTCCTGGATGAGAAACTGACGGGTTTTTAAAATTTTTTTACTGCGCTACAGGACACAAGGCCAACTTTCTCCCTCTCAGCTACAAACCCTGAAAAAAGCAAAGTCAGGAGACTGACCTTGGATTTATATCACTGATGGCAAGAACATCTGCCTGAAATGGAGATTAAAAAACTTGCACTGTAAGGATAAATAGGGTGTTTCCATAAAATTCTCAACATACAGTAGATTGGGCTGTAAAGCAGGTACTAATAAATCAGTGGGGCATCTTTTAAGTAACAGAAAGCTTACAAAATCACAGCATTCACACCTTCGCTTCCTTGTTATTCTTTTTTTTGTTTCCTTACTGTAAATCATTGCCACTGAGTTTAATAGGGCTTACACAATATTGTAAGTATCTCTTAAGTGATATAATTGCTATTTGTGATCCCACTCGTGCTTGAAACCTTTTTTTACTGGAGGGGAAATCAATTTTCCAAGCAACTAATTTGTAAGGAAAACTGAAAAAAAACCCCACCCCTGTTTGCAATGAAAGTGTATAAAAAGGGAAGGCATTTTTCTATGACGTGCAGTGCATGAGTTGGGCATTTTGAGTAGGTGTGTTAAGATTCAGCACCATATTGCTCATGGAGACTGGGTCTGTCAATCACGGACAGGCCAGAGTTGCTGGAGCAGGAATGTTTTTAGCCCTTGTTTTTCAAATAAATTTTATTTATTTGAAAACCACCCTTTATTTGAAAATTGCACCTTTGCCTTACTGAAGTAGCTTTTTGCTCAGGAAAAATGCCATCTCAGGTAAGCGTGGGGTGCAAGCTCTCCAGCCCCTTGCATGGAGGACTCCAGCCCAACCCACAGCACACGGGGCTGAACGTGCTTCCACCCGCTTCAGCCCTTCTGCCCCGACCGCCGGCGCGAGTGCCACCCGAGAGATGAATTCTGGCAACTCCTCTAAGCCCACGGTAAGCAGCAGACACCCAGGCTTTAAGGAAGGCGGGGAAGCACCGCGGCACTGGTACCAAACCAGCATCGCTGGGGACCTGAGATGGGAGGGGACAGTCACTTCTGCTGCTGCCCTCCAGCATTTCACTGACCCCTAGCACCCCCTCCCCAACAGACTAAATGCCGTACAGGTTATCCGGGGGAGCAGCGTTTACAAATCAGCCACAGATGAGAGGTTTCCCCTCCGGTGGAGGCAGGGGAGCGAGAGAAGAGAAAGTGATACTGACTATTGGTCCACTTACATCATTGGGAATAGTAAGTTCATGGGAACTGGTTGGAGTAGTGGCATCCAGTCCTATTCAGGGGACAGAGGGAAAATGTTACGCCGGTTGTTTGCAGGAAGGGCAAGACAAACCAAATGATATTTTAAAGAAGGAAACATACAGAAAGAAGGAAAAAAAAAAAAAAAAAAAAAAAAAAAAAAGAGAGAGAGGACCAAAGAAAAACAGAGAACCGATAGAGAAACAGAAAAGAAAGCAAGAGATGCAAAACTCAGAGGGCTGGACTAATTTTAAATGAGTCTTGTTTCAATTAACCTTTAACCCACCAAAGCAACAAATGTCACATGAGATTCCACAGGGTCACAAAAAGCTTCTAGAAAATGAAGTGTTTCCCCTAAAAAAAGTCTCTGAAGTCTGTTCTAAGCACATCAATTGAGAAATTAATATATGGCTGAAATTTGACCTGTCTACCAGAAGTTCTAGAATATGGAAAATGAAAGTGGAAGTCAAATTAACAATTAGCATAACAAAATACATAGATACGAAAAAGAAAAATTAATAAATTAAAATAAGGATGAGGAAATTGACCTAGGAAAATTTGGAAATTATATGTGGGATTAGTTGCTGAAGAAATGTTGGGAAGGGTAATTTTTGAAGGGAAATGTACAGAATACTCTAAGCTGCATACATTTGTTTGTGAAGTGGGTGGACAAAAGGAAAATGCTCAGGAAAAATGGAATTACTGCTCTAACACATGTTAACATTACAGAAACGTACATCTCACAAATATAACCAGGAAAAGATTAAGGAGCAGCATGTTAATGACAAGAATAAGGAAAATATAAAGCTAGGAAAGGCAATTTAGTATTACTTGTAGATATTTTATCAGATACATCGCGAAGAAAGAAAAGTATATTTTGGATGTCATGTCTCTGTCCTTTTCTTTTCTTTTGGTGTTTATTATTACTATCTGTAGAGATATGCCAAAAATACTCACTTCCAAGTAGGAAAGATGGAAAAAAAACACTCTTACAAAAAATTGACTCACCTACATTTTACTTATGTTTATATTCAATTACGATTTGCATATGCTTATTTTACATTGAATATAAAACAATCCATTTGCTCACAGCCTTTGATGTATGTGATAAAATGTTATTTGCCATACAAAGCAGGTACCAGTACACATATACTTCTATTTTGTGAAGTTTTTAGATGCCAAGCATGTACACAGTGAAGTACAGTAAAAATGTTTTATTGCAAGGTTAACTGACTTCTCACTCTTGAATCAAGAGTTCAGCGTCAGTTTTAGCAAGTATGGACCAAATTTCCTGTCCTTAATTTAACTAAATTTCCATTGCATTTTGTAGCTATATGTGCATATCCAGTAGGAAGAGAGGCACGTTTCCCAACAGTGATGAATACAGATGCGTTTAAGACATTTGGGTCTACAAGGAATTCGAGTTTCAGCGTGCTGTAATTTTTTTAATCAGTATTTCTGTACCACGATTACATACTGTTTTCCTATGTTTGCTTCTTTCTGAACAATGTTACCAAACTGGGAGTTTGACAGGTTGCACGCCCAAGTACGTCACTCGGAACCAACTGGTACATACGGTATGGTCCATAATAACTTTGCAAGGACTGAACAAAAGAAACTCAGGGCTTTTAGCCAATGGCACAAATGAAGCGGTTTTGATTAACAAACGTAACAAACAAAGCACATTTTAGTAATGAGAAAGGAACTGTAACAGAGGTATGGGGAGGGAAGAACAGAGATTAGTGTGTAAAAACAGAAGGATCGCTGGTCATTGACCACATTTATTATTAAAATGATGTAATGACCACGGGAAACAAAGCTGTTAAGAAGAAGGACATCCCCAGGGGGTCATGGGTACGTACCAGGGAAACCAGGGGTGGTCTGCCCAAGGGGAGTAAAGGGGGGATGCTGCATAGCCAACTGGTGAAGCTTGGTCAACTGCAGGGCAGGATGGGAAATTAGAACTAACCAATCAAATGGAATTATTTCAGAGCAGAGAAACCATCTTACATGTTCTAAAACTGGATTAATTAAAATTATATTGTAAAAAAAAAAAAAAAAAGGTTTAATCATTCATTCTAATCTACCGCAGAGAAAAAAAAGAAACCAAACTGGTTATAAATGACATCTCTACTGTTATTACGTGTAATGGCTATTGTTAATATTAACTAATTACTGTAGAATTACATATTAAAGGAACTCAAATATATCGCATGCAAAAAAAGACCAAGATAACTGCCATTTGTTCCTGGGCCATTGTACTTTCCAGCAATTATCACGCAAGGTTAGAGATGTAGCTGAGCTAACGCTTGGCTACACAGCGTGCTGTTCAGGAAAGGTGTCCTTAGGCCACATCTTTATTGCTAACTGTAGAAAGTAAATGTTGCCCAGAACAAATAAGAGGGAGAGGAAGAAAAAGGGAGTAATTTACATGCGCTGGACTCACGTCTGGATGAGGGATGGCATACTGCCCCTGAATCGTGAACGCCTGTAAACGACAAGCACAGTTAAGACACAGTCAGTCGGGTGAGACAAGCAGCGTTCCTGTTCTGATCAGAAAAGCTCCCCCTGGCTTTTCTTCCCCCAGGCAAATGCTGCCCACATCGATTTCAACGCTGAGGGAAGCTTAATTGTCTTGTGCTGCTTGATAACGCTTGGCACGGTCGGGAAAGGTCTCTGCTGGACTGCCCGCGCGCCCCTCGCAAGCGGGGGGACGCCAAGTGCTGCTGCCTGAGCTCCGATGACCTTGGTCCTCAGGACCTCCCTAGTCCAGCTCCATCCGCCAGCGGCAGAGCTGGGGACACTGCAGGGGTTGAGGAGCACGGGGTGGCCACCTCCCCTCCGTGAGATGCTGAGGCCGAAGCAGCAAGGGGTGGGGGGGTTTGGGGAGGGGGCAGCGAGGACGGGGCAAGCCCTGTCGGGGGATGGATGCCCTGCCTCGCCATCCAGCTCCTGGCCGCTGCGCGCAGGGACGATGCACGCCAGCCGGCTCTGAGGCATCTCATCCGGCAGCCCCAGATGCCAAGTGCCAGCAGATGTGTGCCCCGGGGCAAGCCAAGGGGCTCGTGGCCCCGGGCTGCCGTGCCGTGCCAGCGGGTAGGCGAGCACCCGTGCTGGATGGCAGCCTGACCCGCAGCGCCGGGGGGGCACGGGGCCAGCACAGCAGTTCGGAGATAGGAGCGTGAAGGAGATCCCTCAGCGCGGTGGTCTCATCTTCCGCAAGAAGTCAAGTATCTCCCCCCCTTTTCCAAATCCAGCCTCTCTGCACCGCAAGAGCAGTGCAAGGTGTAAAGTTTCTGGCATCACTTCTGGAAGCACTGGGGTGAGGCGGGGGAGGCAAAAAAAACACGTGAGCAAGGAGGGATATGTATGGTGTCATGCCTGGCACCAGTTAGCACAGCCTTTTGTCCCTCCTGCTGGCTCTGTTCAGCTCTCTGTGATGGCCTACAAAGAAAAAACTACAGAGAGTTTATAATTTCCCATTATATCCTGTAGGGCTTTTCTGAAAGGAACGGCATGTCAGAAAAATTTTAATGTGCTTGCGCTTAGTCAGGCAGGAAAGTAGAACGACAAATTATAACGTATAAATATTTGTAGTGGGAGAATTATAAACAGGAACAGAGCTGATTAGCTTAGTTTGCAAAATGCTTATTTGACAAAAATCCTCTTAGAAAGTAATGAATCCTCTGCAAATGATAAAACAATTCATTTAATGGAGTTTGGACATTAAAACCTTTAATGCCTCAACTGCTTGATGCACATTTCTGCAGCAGAATCTCCCTTCTGGAGAAGAAACATTTCATTTAGTTTTTAAATTAGTTATAAAGCCAGGCTGCAATCTGGCAAACGTTATGCACGTGGGCAGTTTTCAGGCGGAATTGTGTGTGACTGGGCTCAATGGGATGCTCATGGGCAAACGTATCACGTGCATCGCGGGGGCACGGCCATTACTGACAGTTTATAACTACCAAGAAAAGGTTCCAGTCTACCAAAAGAGGTGACCACTTCCATCAGCAGGTCTTAAGCAAGCACGTATTCAAGCAAGCAAAGCATGTGTTTAAGTGTCTTACCAAATGCGGACAAGTTTAAGGGGTGTTACGCTGCTTTGCTGAGCGGGGGCTCTGTGCGTGGCCAAGCACGGGAGCAGCCTCAGGGAGGTCTCAGCTGGAAACAGCACTGGGCTCGGGCTTCGGTCCACGAGCAAACAGTGGGTTTGGAAACCATGCTTTGGTCTCTGAGGCTCTGTGCTGGGTCACAAGTGCCCCTTCTGACCTTGGCTTTACTTCGAACCCAGCTGAGAGAACAACTTTTACATGGGTGCTTCCCAAGCAGTGGTCTGCAAACCAGCAAGGAACCACTGCAAAAAAATTCACCAGTGAACCTAATAGAAATCACCCCTTTCTTCATCAGTTCACTCCCTCATACTCCCGTGTATATAAATGAGGAAGCAAATGAACTGGAGAAATAACAAAAATAATGAACATTGAGAGCTCAGACTAGCTTTTATTTCGTTGCCAATGAAAACCATCACAGCAGATGGGTCTTGCATTTTCTTTCCTAGTTAAAAAAAAAACCAAGCTCTTAATTCCTTAGGTTCCCAAAGGTCATTTGATTGATTCAGATTGAGAAAAACTGTCTTTGTCTGCTTCACCCCTTGACAGAGGAACTGTGCCCTTCTGTGGCTGAGGCATACTAAGCACAGGCCTGGTAGAGGCTACTGAGACATCTGTACCGTAACGTTCCACTAAGGACAGAGCTGCAGGTCTGCTTCCAGCAGAGTCAATGGCAACTCCCCTACTGATGTGCTGACGTAGTAACAGCAGGAATGACCTGGCCTACAAATCTTCCTCAATTTAAACTAGAAAACTGCTACGAGACATAAAGCAAAGCTGTACCCTGTGAGTACCTATCTAAACAACAATGTAGCACCGTGGGTAGAAATTTCCGATTTATTTCCATCAGGCAGTTGGGCTGGATTTATTTTTTTTTTTTTAACCAATGCATAATCAATACTTTGGTAAGGGGCAGAGCAGGGCAGGACAGTGTTCAGCTTCCTTTTAGTTCTGTCATGCAATACAGTATCAAAGAAGCACAAGAGAATTAAAAGCAATACTCGAAACAGAAGAACCCCAACTTGTTAAAGAAAACCAGAAATTTGATTTTGTTAGTGTTGCTTGATACGCAAGCAGTAGACAAACCAAAACCTTTCAAGATAGCCACGATGTGATTTAGAATGGGAAAATAACTTCTGATAGCATAGCCAAAAGGTTGGATGTAATTAACACTCCTGATAAAGTTTTATTTTCAGTATTAATTTCCACTTATGGAACCTGGTTAAAGTGTCTTTCCATACTGACCCCCAAATACACCTTAAGCATTTTCTTAAAAAGTCTGCTTAGTCAGAGCACAGAAATTCAAAGCACATGGCAATTCAAAGCATACAGAAGATGTCTGCCTGTTCCACTCTTTCTCACATCAACAAGGTTGCATTAAAAAAAGTGAGAACACTATTTTAACTGATAAAACTGAAGATGACAAGAGCTATTAGACCTTAAAACAGGACACTTTCAATTATTTATACAAACTACTCAGAGTACTCTAGCAAACAGTTTCAATACTTCTGAGTAATCATATACAGAGACAGTCTTTGAAGGTAGCAGCAATTACAATACTGGTAACATGGGCTGCTGCGTATATACACACATATTTCTTAAAGGAAAGCACTGCAGTGTAAACTTTTGAATAAGGAGTAAATTATCCTGAACTTTGAGTCATAGACCAATTTTAGGCAATTATTTTAAATTTCAGTTCTACTTTGGTCACTAAGGAAGCAGTTTGCTTATTCTGAAGACAGCTGAGAGTGGTAGGCCTGGACACCAGGAACTGAAAGCTACTACATCCGGATTATGCAAAACTGGATCTATGTCACAACGCATCATTACAGAGCAGAAGGTAAAAATTCTGAGACAGAAGTTCAGAGAAAGCTCCTCACAGGGGCCTGTCAGGAGCAGTGGCGCTTTGGCGTATGCTTCGGAGGGGCAGGAGGTTCCTTACAAACGGGCCGACGGTGGTGGCGTGGGTCATCGTCCCCCCCCGACACCACGGACACCTGGTGCCCGCTGCCCACCAGGAGCCCCATGCCCAGCTGCTCACTGGACCCCCCAGCCGCCGACGGGGGGGAGGCACGGTCTTCCCACACCCCGTGACAGGGTGATGACCTGGGCTGAGCTGAACGGGATGGGAGGTGGGACCTGCCTGCAGATGTTCCACCACGCAGGTGGGTGGCTCTTCCCACTGGGTAGATACTTAAGAAGACGCCCTGCCATTATCTCCGGAACGAGATTTGGCTGGGTGGGGGTGCCGTCCTGCCAGAGGGGCTTCACGTGTGTGGATCCCGAGTAGAGAGATGGCTGCCTTCCTCTAGGCTAGATTTAGGGCATCAGTTTCCCCTTGAGTTGGGCAGGGCTTGCAGCATCTCGCTCCTCCACCATTGCACGTATCTAGGCAGCGTTGCTCTTAGCCTGTTGCCGATACAGGTCCCCTTGTGAGCCTCCTAGGGTGTTTTTAGGGTACATATCAGCTGCGTTCACTACTGGCTCACCAGTTACTAAAATGGCATTCCCCCTGCAACAGATGATGGCAGAGCGAAGTCCCGCCATGTCTCAGTGGCACGTTGCAGACCCATTCCAGAGCATTATCAAAAGACAAGGAAGAGTCCCACTGTACATGAGGTTTCAAAGGCAGTTGAGAACCCGGACTGATATAGCTTAAGATGAATGGGGAATCGTCAAAACTTCACTATATAAAAAAGAAACAGGAACACTGTTCTTGTGTTATCAATCAGGTTGGGAAGGCCTACACTTGTATGTATGTAGTTCCCGAAACTTCAGAGCCTCATTGCTACTTGGTCCTGAGGGACCATAAGCAGCAGAAATTATGAGTGTGTAAACTTTTACTGCAAAATGCACTATTTGGTCCTAAAAATACATGAAGTCTATGAGAGAAAAATTATGCCTTTCATGAGCGGAGACATCCTGCTGTTCGATCATCTCTGAAAACTGATAAAACTGCTTATACTGATAGTGGAGCTGCAAGTTAAGAATAAATAAAAAAATAACACTACAATAAGCAGTTTTGTCCCACTTAGGCAGCATCTGATTTGGACAGCATTCAGTCTGCAGAAGGGCAGACTTTTCTTAACTACAGGAGTTAATTTTAAACCTTGGTAAAATACCAGTCATTACAATTCTGCATCAAGTTTGCCGTGCAGTGCTCTCCTTCCCTGCAAACTGTAAGCACACAAAGTAGACAAAGCACATCAATACTATACCAGGCAAGAAAGAGTAAAAGTTGAAAACTAACAGGCGCTGGCTGAGGTTGGGCCAAGACGGTGTGGTTTCCAGCTGAAGCCAAAATGGTGTCTGCTCTTACCTGGCCACCTGCAAAAATGATAGGTGCAGAGGCAGGTTTGGGACGGTAGGGGATGGTGGCACCTTTGGGTGGGGACTGCAGACAAAAACACAGAACGATCAAAATGCAGAATGAAGCAGAGCTCGTATTAAAAAAAAAAAAATCACTCCTTATCTTGGTCACCTCAGACAACAAGGCATGCAGCTAACCCAGCCCAGCCCACCCTGCCCTCCCATCCAACCCATCAGCCCAAAAGCAAGCTGGAGGCCGGTTCCCTGGGCTTCGAGGGGAAGAGCTGAGGTCCCGGCTGCAGAGCCGAAACAGGCAGTGCTGGCACTCGTGGCTTCATTACTGCCATCATTGGATGAAGCTATGAAGCTTCATTAAGCATGTCAAAGCATTTCAGGAAACATGGGCACAATTTTGAAATCTGTTGTGTTTTGGAAGAGTCCGGCCTGTGCTCCCGCACTGTTAACACAGAGCACATCTCCTGCTTATTGATCTTTCCTACACTGCTATACATCAGGGTTTCTTGTTTTACCAACTCAATTAAGTCAGCTGTTCAATTGCAAATGACCAGCCTGATCCTGCCTTTCCTCTGACTGAGCTGGAAGTTTGGCACAAAATCCTCCCGGTTTCAGGAGGATAATCATGGCCCCTGTATTGTATGAAAAGGGAATTTGCTCCCTCTAGCCCAAGGCAAGGACCCGAAGTTGAAAACCCCTGGCCCAGGCTAACTTACTCCCTGTAAATAAAGCAGGAGCGTGCGTCTGTAAAATAGGCTTCAAGCTGTCTGTGAAACACCTAGCAGAACAGTGCCCTGATTTCAGTGCATTAACTACAGCTAAAGGAGGTAACAACTATATCACATCAATTCATTAATATCATATAATTAGCTATTTCATGTCAATGAAAATGTTTGTTGCCAAATGAAATAAATGCTGCGAATTAGGACACATTCATTTTCTTAAACACCTGAAGCAGCCAACAGTAGTTAAGCTGTGTCTTCTTAGTGCTGCTTGTGATTTGCCTAAGGCAAAAAGTACTACTTATGTCAAAACAGGTTATTTAAAAAGTGGCTCTACCTGTGGGAAAATAGGACTGTGTCTGTCTGGTTTTGAGAAGAGGCTTCTCTCATTTTCTTTAGCAAACAACTATGTATTCCATGAATGTCACTTGGACAATAGACTACACTCTGTATTCATAAAGCTGGTAACTACTGCCATTGTGTACTCCATCTCTAACAAAAAAAGTACTTTTAAATTATTTTATCTCTAAAACAATATTATTTTTAATATTATCTTTCTGTTCTCTTGCATTTTTATAAAGAAATTTCTTCCTCACAGTAGTCCAGCGAAAAATGAAGCAAGAGTCACTTTCCCTCAGTAAAACACCAGGGATTTATTAGTTTTAATGTTTTTACTTGAATTAGGCTGTATGACATTTTGATGCAAAAGCTGTATGTCATTCTGATGCATTGCATACTTCTGAACAGCCAATAGCTGTAGTGCTGTCTCAAACACTCCACTGTTTCTCCCCTCTTTAAAGACTAACAGAACAGTAGGGTGTCAGAGATCATCATGAGACAGCCCTTGACTAGACCTAGGTAAAAAAACAAACCAAACCAAAAAAACACAGAAAATTTTCCAGCAGAAAATGTGGTAAAAGCAGAGATGTTTCATGTTCCTTGTCAAAAATTATGGGGTTACTAGGTAAAAATATTTAATTTTGATTTGCTGAAATATGCTTTTTTCAAATTTCTATTCAACTTAATCGGTTGAGAAACGTACTTTCACGAAACTATGGGCATTTTCAGCTAGGGTTAAAATGCCCAGATTTTTATATAGATTAATTTTGAATCATTTAATCTAACAGCTAAAAAACTGCCATCAAAATGAAACATTCTGGCCTTATGAAATGACCTGACCCTAAGGAAACAAAAAGTCCTGGTAAATCTAAGTTACGCTAGTCAGGCTTATTTCTATTTAACACAAGACCTAGATGTTTTCTGCCCTATTCTGCATCAGAATAAAATGCTTTTCCCTCAGTATGGGCTGAAGCTCCATGCTGGACCTGGTTTGTTGCCACAGCCCTGGTCTTTGATTGCTAAACCCTGCTGCGAGAGGCTCTCAGACACCAGGACGGGCACCGTCTGGCAGAGTCCTCCTGAAATCCCTGGCGCAGAAAGGGCAGGCAGCACCCCTGGCAAGCCCAGGGAATTCAAAATTTGTCGTGTGTGTGAGCACCTCCCGAGCGAGAGGCGCTGTGCCCAGTACCCACTCACCTCCAGCATAACCACGCATATTTGTTTCACGCACTGGATAATGGCGTCGGGAGTGCCCGAGATAGTCACCGCACGCTCCGTCGAGTTCGGCAACATGTCCCCCGCTACCTGCACCTGGGCTCCTGTGGACTTGAGCACAGACAGAGCACAGAGAGCGTCACTGTCGGGCAGGCAACGGCACCTCTCAAAAGCCAGCGATCCACCGATGGGACGGGGCGGATGCGCCTCTCAACCTTTCTGCCTTTTCTTTGCCAGACGCCTGGTAGAGCGCGCATGTCAACTCGTGCCCAGACAGGGTAACTGGGGTCTGGCAGGACAGGGACTTGCCTGCTCACACCAATTTGCAAACGCTCCCACCCTAGGAAGATTAGTCCGCAGGAGCTGCTGATGAATCAAGCTGCGACCTGAATTTCCCAAGTCTTTCAACCCTCTCAAAGACAGACAGATGCAGTGCTGACTAAAAAATGAAAGAGGTGAGATGAAGTACTTGTCAATAATTAAAAAAAAAAAAAAAAAAAAAAGGAAAAAAAATGCTGATAACTGAAGAAGGTCTGCTAATCAAATGACTTGCAGATAAGTGGCTCTTTAATCCACTGATGGCTGACTTGTGTCTCTGGATGGAATCTGGGACTGCCTTATGTTCTGGAATATCCCAGGATGGGACAGAAGCACTTCTCAATTATAATTAATGTTGATTAAATATATGCACATCATCAACTTTTAGCTCTTCAATGAACCCAAGGGAGTAATGAGACAGTTTTATTTTTTTTTAAATTTGATCTTGACAATAATGTATCTTAGTTAAACAAAAAAAAAAAAAACCACTAAACAAACAAACAAAAAAAAAAACCCAAACCAAAACAGAGAAAGAAAAAAATGCATGAGGCTAAAACAATCCCTGGTATTATTTCACAAACATCCTGAAAGACTTTTTCAGTCAATAGAGAAAAACCCAGGCACTTCATACTGAGTTAGCACTTTCACATATTACAAGCAAAATCTATTCCTGACTGTTATTGCAATGCAATATTTTGAGCTTTTAAAAAAAGTATTTTCAGTAACCACTGACTTTGTGTCAGTCAGCAAGGAGTGAATTTGTTTTCCTGCTGGTTACATACAACACATGTTATTCTTCTTTCCAAAGACTGATTAAATTACTGATTGCATCTTCTGTTCACTAGTGCTGTTTAAGGCCAGAATATCAATTCCTTGCTCTGTAATAGGCTTTGGAATTTTGCCATAATTTGATCAATCAGCCATGTTTTTCTTTTCTTTTTTTTTTTTTTTTTTTTGGTAATCTTATCTTGAAAATATTACTGAAACCCTACATGTTGTTCCTGGGTACATGACTGAACACAGAAGACCATCCTCGTGCAATTGCTGCTCAGTGTGTCGTGTGATGATGAAATTAGACCACAGCTTGAATTGGATGCTCTTTTTCTCCCTGTTTAATCGTATTTGCTGTTTAACGTACAGTTCTGGGTATCTGTACGTCTAGCACAAAATACTCTGCCAAATACTGCAGTCATTCATGCATTTGCTTCCAGTGTCAACTTTGTTTATTCTTTGACTTTGGTCATATATCAGCAATGAAAAAACTAGTGATATTTTGCCCATCACCCTTATGCTTAAGAAAATATGCAGTGTGACTTCTTGCTACATTAGCCTCATCAAAACACCTATTTGGCCAAACTCTATCCTTTTACTTCCTTGTCCTAAACTAACGGGTAATTGCTTCTGAAACTGTGCTCACCAGAAAAATCACTCCAGTCATTTGATGTACACAGACCAACAGACCAATCTCACCTTTAAAAATCTATGTCCTAAGAGCACTCGCTCAGTGCTCTGGATGAGGTTACCAATATTTAAAATAAAATCCAAAGCATCGACAGCTGTAAAACCTATAGCTAAGTACTCACAAGCACACGCTTCACACTTATGCCTGCTTCTATTCTAACACAACTAAGAAAGCAGCTGGATTCCCACTGCCAGAACGGTTCTCCTGGACACCCAAGAGTTCCAGAGGGCCAAGAGAAATCACGTCTTGTGGCTGAGGTTGCCTCCGACCGTGTGCTCTGGCAGTAGCTCTGCCTTCTCCAGCCGCAAGGCTTTAGCCTGGCTTGGCCTGCTGCCTGCCAGACACGAGCTGCTGCAAACACCAACAGTCTGGTGGCCGTCCGGAATCTGAGCCAGAAACGTCCCGTGCGTGAGGCAAACCGAACACCTTCCTTCCACCCAGGAAACGTGCTTCAACACGCAAGTATCTTCTCCCATCTATACAAAGTTCTTGGACAAAGCTTTTTGGGGGTTAAAGAAAAAAAGAGAGAGGGTTTCCTATGACCTTCACATCTGCACAGAAATAATGTGTCCTTCCCCTCAGTGCCATCAAGTGATTTCCTTCTCCCACATTTCAAAAACTGGTTTGACAATAAGGACTACTGAGAGGTATAGAACCTAGGCTCTTTGATGAAAAATAAAGTAACAGCATTCCAAGAAAAAAAAAAAAAAAACACCGAACCTGATTTGTAATTACCTTTTATTTGCAGGTCTCAGTAAATACAGAAACTCCCTTCAAATAGCAGGGCTCTGTACCGTTTTTCTGCAAGTTTAGAGCAGACAACTTATGTATGTTTCCATGAACACAGTTTACAAAGCAAGAGGCACATGGAGGAACAACATGTTGTTTACTTTGCAACAAAAACTCTGAAACAACTTTTGGCAGTTCTGTCAGCTAATGGAAGTGGTACACCCTGCTTTTACTTCTCTGTATGCAAGGAGAGAAAAAACCTTTCAGTAGCGGCCAAATCCTGAAAGGTGAAGATAATCTGTCAGAGGGAAGGTTGTTAAAAAAACTCATGAGACAATCAAATTGAAATAGAAATGAAATAATTTGGAAGAACTTGAAAGTCAACAGGATGAGATCCTTAACTGTCCTCTATCATCCCCTTTCCTTCCAATGCTACCATAAACTAACATTTCATTGCAAATGCTGGATATAAAATTTTGATCAAGGGATTCTCCACTCTTTTTTGACATTTGATCAAATTTTCTTTGATAGAAAAATATCCGTCAACTTCTTTTCAAATTTGAAATGACACATAAAAGCTCACTGAAACCTACTGCCTCGAATCTACACTTTAGATAAAAAAAGTGAGTTTCACTTTGGTAAAGCCTGTCAGAACCTTCTGTTTTGACACAGTCAAATGAAAAAAATTTCTCAGCATGTTATCTTCATATTCAACACCTCATCCCACGTTGGAATGAATACAAATTTGGGAGTACAGTGACTTTCTCCAGAATAAAAATCCAGTTTTCTGAAAGGACCTATTCAGATTTTGTCTACATAACTAAGCACACACCTAATCTTCTTGTTTGACTGATTACAAATACTGGATACTTGGCTTGGCCTGTTCTATGTTGTTACAGGCATGCATAGAAGAATTAAAACTGGCATTTTTGCATTTTCTGGTTAAAGCGGAAAAAGTGGCTGCTAGCACAGCACACTGAGTGAATATATTTAGATAAAGTTTGGATTAAAAAAAATCAATATGAGTTTGCAATACATGGAATCAGGTCAGCTGTGGCACAGTAAGATTAGGGAGAAACAGGAGAGGAGTATGAAAATAAATTTTCTCTAAAAAGCAGATCAAGCATTTGATCTACTAACCTGGACTCCCCAAGTACTATTTGGGCCTTTCTCTGGATGCAAGGGTAGGAGCTAATCTGGAAATGGCGGCAACCCTCCAACTCGGGACCACCAGAGTATTGCTGGGAGGGGGACGAGGCTGTGCCTGAAGAGAAACTGGAGGAGCCGTTTCTGTTGCTAAACTGTTGCTTTGCTAAATTGTGCATCAGAGACTAATACCCTGCGAAGCTGTTTATTTCACGCATGGTCTTCAGCTTCAAGGAAGGTAGAAGGGTGCAGTTCTGCTGGGCCCCTGCTTCCCTCGGAGCGAGGCACATGCTCACGTTCATGCGAAGAGCAAAATTCAGCGGCCCACGGTGTCAGGGCACGCTGTGGTAGGACACTGAGCCAGCCAGTGTTCCCGGCAGAGATCCCAAGACTTACCTCCCTGATTTCTTTGATTTTGGAACCTCCTTTTCCTATAAGGGATCCACACTGACTCGCTGGGACGACGAGCCGCAGTGTGACGGGCGGTTTGCTTGTCACCGTGCTGTTTGTCATTGAAGCGTTTATGTCCTGTAATCACAACACCAGTAAGAATTAGTGGAGGATTTGTCACTCCTGGTAAGCACTGAAGGGCTCAGAGCTAACGCCCGAGCTGTTGGTGGAGACCTGGGGAGCGTGCAAGCAGTCGTGGTGTGTTCCTGCTGCAGGCAAAGCCGCCGGCTCGGCCGTAAGCACGAACTGCACAGGCGGCTTGGGCTAGAGGAGCCCTTTTGGCACCCGGCACCGCGGGACCAGAGGACAGGCTCTGAGGCAGGAGGAGGAGGAGGAGGAGGAGAAGGAGGTGGTGTCTGTCATTAGATCAGGCAAAGCAGATGGAGAAGACAGAGGCTTTTGAGTTCGCAGGCCCCCAAATCCCGATTCGGTCTCTTTTCCATCATCTTAATCAGAACATTTCTACTAAAGGGTATGTCTTTATATTTCATGCAATTTCTTGTCAGTTTTGATACAAAGAGTACAGGTCAAAAAAAGGAATGACAAGGAATCAGTGAATAACCTGAAGCAGAAAAAATCAGGTTATTTTGATAAATACTTTGCTGTCCCCTGGGTTTATTTCTCTTTTGTAGCAGATCCATAAGTGTGTGTAGTGTTACATAATTTTAAAAATCCTTTCCGTCACAGCTATGTAACCAGAGTACAACGAGCTCAGCAGAACAGCAATTCTCTGTATCCAGGTAATGTAACCTGTATCTGTGTATCCCATTATCCAATGAGACTTCATTGCAGGTTTTCACGAGCATTTCAATACACTACTTGTCACAAGGTTTACATTGTTTTAAATACATTTTGCTAGTTCAAAATCTTCTAGACAAGACAAAACAATTCCTCTAGTGTCTTCATCACAGAGGAAAAGATAAAGCTTATCTTTCCACTGATCAACGGTATGCTGCTGAGAGCACCACAAAAAAAGAAGCCACATTCTGCATATAACCCGTCCAACAACTCATGAGAATCTCAGCGGGGTTTGCTAACGCTAGCTGCGAGCTGAAATGACCATCTCATCCATCTCTGAGGCGGAATGGCACAGCTATTACACCCTTCACAGAAATGCTACCCAAAAGATTAGGACATGGATGACAGAAAAGATGCATTTCATATTCATTTAACTCATTTATGAGGCAACAAGAGTTTGAGCAGACAGAACTGATGTGTTTCCTCTGTATTCTCATTTATCAAGACTACCACTTGTTAACAAAGAAGAAAAAGTGCCTATACTGTTTGATCAGGACCCCAAATTAAGAAACAAACAAACAAACAAAACAAAACAAAACAACAAAACAAACAAGTACTTTAAACAACTCTGCACACCTTGTGGAACTGGTGGGGGAGCTCAGTGACACCAGCACTGATTCCTACAGTACCTCTGCATTTGTGATGGCAGCATTCTTTTGTGCAACAAATGGCTCAGTGTGACCTTGCTTAGCTTAAAAGAGAAGAAAAAAAATCTTGGATGGAATGAGGCATTGCTGCATGCCACAAGACAGCTATCAAATCATTCCTCTGCCAGTCAGTAACTCACATTTTGTTTAGTGCCTGTGTCAGTGAGAGATTGCAATCTGAAATAAAGCGAGAGGGATAACGGAATTTTGCAGCACCCATGTATCTGAAATAAAGTGCAAGTCAAGCCAATTTTTCAGCTGGAAGCTGCCATCTCACTATGTCACGTTTGTGTCAGGTGGAGGCACATGATCATCCAGATGTAGGTAAATAACCCTCTTCAGCCACCCAGCATGGCCTAATAATATCTCCCAGTTTCACATCATATGCGGCCTGGCCTCAAAGCCTTCACTGCACTTACTGATTTCAACAGCACTTCACGAAAATTGAAAGATGCTTTTCTCTTTATTATCTCCTCATTTTAAAAGAGCAAAATCTAAATACGCAGGCTCAACAGTGTGGAGTGCATAAAGGAGTTAGTCCAGATTAAAAACACAAAAAAAGAGAGATTAGCAGAAAAAATTCCCCTCTCCTGCAGGCTGCCAAGTAGGGCTGGCTGGAGACTTTCTGACAGAACATTCATCTTTCCAACTGGGAGATTCTTATTTCTTTAACCTCTGACTTTCTGTGGGACTGCATCTGTTTCCTCAGGGCTCTGGCAGACACTGGAGCCAGTCCTTGCATGGCTTTCTGCCTGCTTGTCTGGGCAGCTCCTCAGCCAGGATGGGCTAACGGGGAGCCTAGAAGTGTTGGGGGAGTCAGCTCCCAGTGTCGAAGCCTTGCAGCATCCCTAGCTCTTGGCATCCCAGAGTCACAGCGTCTAAGGTTTCCCAAGGCAAGCAAACGTGGCAGCTTGGAAATCTACCAAACCTCCAGGGAAAAAAGCATATCAAAATTCTTCTTTATTGGGTTCTAAATGAAATGGCAAACCTGCCAATTTTCACAGCAAGTACAAGTTTGTGAGATGGCTCCTCAATGATAATGACCACCGCAGGATCTACCTTAGTTGTAGCAGGAAGAGTTAGCATTTATCAAAAAGGCATCATTTCAACTGCTTTAATCACCTTGCCTTTCTCTCCTCCTTACTCCTAGAGCTGAGCAATTTCTTCACAAATACTTGCAGATGAACAAGGATTCCACCAAACTTTTTCTTATTTATTTGGAGAAGGTCTGACCACTGAGCTCTGCCTGCTGTTTTTTTTCCAGCGCTTAACTACCACATTCTTTCACTGGGTTATGAGTATTTATACCCAAAACCAGAGCTTCCCCACTCTCCAGTGAACTTACAGCTGCATTTCTTGGGTCTCAGCCTCCAGTCTGGAAATCACTGCTCTAAAATGTTCTCTCTAGCAACTCCAGTGGTCTGCCTGGGTTACTGCCATTTTTTAACATCTTTCTTTTTCATGCAGTGAAGACTTCAGTTGTTTATGTAATTACATACTTAGCTTGTAAATTCATCATCAGGCTGCTAGCAAATCAACTTTTATTTGGAAGGCTGTCAAAGCAGAGTGATATAAGGCTGCAGAGCAACTGCACAGAGAATGCTCCTCCAGGTCTTTTTTTTTTTTTTCTCTCTTTCTGATGTATTTTGAGATTTTTGCTAACATTAGAAAAGCATTCCGGGGCTCCCCTATCTTCATAGATCTGCTTATCCCCAACTATACAGCTGTAGGGTTGAAATTAAGGGTTCAAGGGCTTCATGTCAAAATGCTTCATGTGGGCATACATAACAAATACCAAAAAATCCCTCAAACCATCAGTCTCACACATGCATCCTTTTTGTTCAGTTTGAAGGTAGCTGTGATAAGCAGAGCTGGGCCAGGCACTGTCTGCTCTGGGATTTTCAATTTTTAAAATGGCTGAAGAAATCTCCAACAAGAAGATATGCATGAAAAATAACATTTGGTAGCTAGCTCATTTGTAATTTCTGAAACGGTACTTTATTTTAACTCTGAAGTGTTACAGTTACCTCATTTTATTGACAGGAATAACTACAGGAAACTTAATTGAATATGTCAGACATTTTTCTTTACTACTGTTCTTTTAAATATACCAGAGGTCAACTGTATTAAAAATAAATATGGATATTTCAGAATATAATCACAGTACCTTATCTTCAGGGAGTACAATACCTCTTTGCTAATATCCATACAAAGAGTCCAGACTACCCTCTAAAATCTACAGGGGTTAATAAGCATAAAACCCAGTCAGATGACCGAATTTCGGATCTCTTTGCCTATTGCTAACTACAGCACTTTCAAAGACAATGTGGTGTTGGGTGGTGGGTGGGGATCTGATGCTGTGCAGTGTTCAATGTTTTTATGAGAAATGCAGCCTCATTTCCACCGGGTACTTGTTTTGGTGGGAACTGGCAGGGGTTATCTCTGTTAATGATTCTCTCTTCATTTTTCAGGATAAGGCCTTAAACAGGGCATGCCGGTTGTACAGAGAGGCTGCCCTCTCCAGGTCTCTGTGGATTGGAAGGTGTGGTATCATACAGGAAACTGCCTCTTAAACTAGAAGAAATGGGGGTTGGTACAAGATGGGCAGGAGATAAAGCTGAGAAGATGACAACAGGTGGCTTTAAAACTGGGATGAAGAAAATTACGTGTGTAGTTCTGCCGAATTCAACCTTCAAAATCATTATTACCTCATTAATAACTGGTAAGGCAAAAAAAATAGTGTTCTTATAAAATATACCATGCCACAAACCCAGGGTATTTTATCAACATGTTGAAAGACTGGAATATCACATAGGAAGATCTGAAAACCCATACAAATGGGATTAACATTTGCAGTATGAAAAAAAGGGTCATTTGTCCAGGGGCCGACAGGAATGCCTGCCAAGACCAAAGAGGTTCACACTGAAAACACTTGAGCAGGAGCTGGGGATGCCCACCGGGCACAGCATGGTTGCACGCAAAGCATTACACTAGTAGGAGGTGAGGCATTTCCAGCAGGAGTAGGGATATGTTAATGTGAGAGCCAGGACAGAGCACTGTTAGTGCCATTAAATAAGCCCTTGCGGAACTTCATTTGCAACCTGTTCACAATTAAGTCATACATTTATTACAAACTGTAACTGGGAAAAGGTAGAAAGGGACCAGTCATGTGAGGGGTGGGGAATACATCCTCTGAAAGCCTGAGCTAGGCTCACTTACTTTGGAAAAAGCAAGGGTGTGAGGGGATAAAACTGGTTTCTAAAAATATGTCTAAGAGAGGAATCCTCAGGGATGGAAAGGCAAGAATTGTTTAAACTAATGGCCAGTGCTGGAACAGGAAGAAAGCTGCGTAAACTGCTTGTGAATAAATTTAGGTGAGGAGTGAAAAGAAGATGTCTAATTATCAGAGAACTGAGGTTGTGGACTCCATATCAGGAACTAGAAAAAAAATCTATCTGGTTTTAGATCATGCTATGAAGAAGATTGCAAGACACACTGCTTATGCTAGAAGATAACTGCATCTGATGACCCACAAGCTCTTTTTTAGTCCTGTTACTCTAAATGTGAACAATCACCTTGGGTCATGCTGACATTTCCCATCAATGCCAGCATCTCCCAGTGCTATAGGGAGATGTGGAGACTAACCTCACCGACTTGGAGAAATAAGTATTCTTAAGAAAGGGATTAAAATCCTTCTAGTTTAATCACTGATGGGCAGACACAGCCCCTTTCTTATGGTGCAGGTGATTCAGTCCACCTATCTGCAGGCTCTTCCTTTAGCAGAAGGTAAATTGCCTTCTGCAGAGGCCTGTCTCTCCACAGAGGACAGGAGAGATGCCTGGACTGGATGTCTGATTTTCAAAAGTCAAGGGAGTTAAATTCTCTCCTGAATGACCAGGGTTCGTGTTCTGTAGCCTGCTGCCTTTTCTGTGAGGTTTCCCATTAAGTGGTTCAAGTAATTGTAGCTGGTCCATGAAACTTGGGGAGATCCCAGCACTTTAGGATTGTAGTGATAGGAGAAGGGGTAACGGTTTTAAACTGAAAGAGGGTAGATTCAGATTAGATATAAGGAAGGAATTCTTTCCTGTGCGGGGGGGGTGAGGCCCTGGCCCAGGGTGCCCAGAGCAGCTGTGGCTGCCCCCTCCCTGGAAGGGTTCAAGGCCAGGTTGGACGGGGCTGGGAGCCCCCTGGGCTGGGGGAAGGGGGCCCTGCCCCGGGGCAGGGGCGTTGGAACTAGGTGATCTTTAAGGTCCCTTCCAACCCAAACCATCCTATGATTCTCTGGTATCTGCACAGAACGGTAATTCTACAGTAAATTGAGGACTCTCTTGCCTCACTTACTCTTAGTGCTCTTATTTTAATTAATTTTAAAAGCCAAGATTTAAATATGGCAATTGGTAATCATATAGTTTGTTTTTAAAATAAAATATTTTCTAGTGGAATGAATTATACATTCATTTTGACCTACATAAAATTTATATCAATACCAAATGGAATCATATAAAAACAGAGCTAAAAGTTAGGCAATTATTCTTTCCAAATCAAACCACAATGGGACTAGAAATTTTCCAAGACACTTTTTCTACCATTAGTGCACATTACTAGAAGCAATTGCTTTTCCCTGAAGCCTCCAAAAAGCAAAAGAAATGATCAAACAGCTTGTAAATTGACCCATTATTTTTCTTTAGCGTTACTGCCAAAAGCATTTATAAAAATACAACCACTTTCATTGCTATTAAATAGAACATTAAACAAATCATGTTTAACATTAAAGCAAACATGAGAAAATTCAAACAATGTTTGTATTTCAACTTGAAGAGAGAAAAAAACATATTTTATTTGCTTACCTCTTCAAATTTTAGTGCAATCATAGAAAAAGCTTTAAAAATTGCATCTGTTGGGCCTGTTATTGTCACAATTCTCTCTGGACAGGAGCCTTCTGAAATATTGATTCGAGCACCACTCTGTCAAAAAGAACAAATATTTTTCAGATTTATACTTCCCAGGGAGCAAACTAAGTAAGATTAGGGATATAGTTTGGGAAGGAATATCTTGAGGCATCTAATTCACTCCCCTACAACTGCAGCCCCAACATCATATAATTTCAGCATAAACTGATCAAACTCCAGAAATTCATCTAACTGCGGGAAGCCGGATTCTGTCTGGGTAAATACTTATACAGCCTTCATTGCAGTATGCAAATAGCACCTCTGTAACTCAAAGTTGCAAATGATTGCATAATCAAGTCTTTTGCCTTCCCTCTTGCAGAATTAACCTTGAGTAGGACCCAAGATGTAGAATTTCAGACAACGCTGATGGCTCCAGGGAGCATCAGAATCTCCCAGGAAAGATGCACCTTTCTGGTTTAGAGACCCAAAGGCAGGGCTCCATCTGTCTAGCTGGGGCACTGCTCTGCACTGTGGAGAAGGTTCCTTATAGAGGTGTCTCCTGTGAAGGCAGACAACTAATATGCACTGAACAACCCTTTAAGGAAGTAGTGGTAGGACAGGCAAGAGTAATGGTGTTATCTTCTTAAGGGAAGGAGTCTGTTGGAAGGAGTTGGAAAACTGTAAGTCTTGGAGACAAGCCAGCATGGCTCTCAAGGTATACTTAGTCCCCTTTATGTTACTGTGGCAGTGCAAACCCCTACACTAGACGTAAATATATTTAAGAGGATCTTGGTGAAGACAATGATCAAAGCCAGTTCAGGTGAGATCCACCCTGTGCTTTCCCTGAATTTTCAGGCATGGAAATGTGACAATGCAGTCTAACAAGTCACTGGAGCTTCAACTCATCCATAGGCACTGATCCTCTCGAGGATATGGGCCTGTAGAAAACGTGAGATAGTCGGTTAATTTGGCCTTTTGCCTTCGGGGTTACCACGAATCAGCCAATGTGCTGTGTGTCTGAGCCCTTATTCACGTGCACGCTGCTGTTCAACAGCAAAGTATCTTACTTCCCTGTATGACAGCAACCAAACACAACAAAAAAAACCCCAGCCCAACGCTGCCGATAGAAAAATCTTGTTGCCAGAGTCTCTGCCGGCAGACAGACTCAGCGTTCACAGGTAAGAAAGGGCAACGGGCACTTTGGGACTTGTCCTCATCGAACACCAGCACTGGATCAGGAGGGGGACCGGGGCCAAGGGCTCGCTCGTGCCGGCGGCAGCGTCCAGCACACAGGAACCCGGGGCTGTGGGACGCAGGGGAGCTCGTCTGGAAGGTCGCTCCACCACGGATCGGCGGTAGCCAAATTTCACAGATGTTACTCCTCCAGTAGATGACCAGTCAAAGCAAAGCTACATCAATTAAAATGTTACGTGACGGCCTCCGTATCTGTGTAGAAGTTAATAACCACAGTGCACAGTAGCAAGGTTTTTGTATTTTTCTTTAGGCCCAGAGCTGTCTCTGACATTTCCCCAATGACTGAGCAAGGCAGAGTTGCATTTCACTCCATAAAAACGGCATGAAACTTGCCACATCTGTCAGGAAAGTCAAAATAAAGTTGTATTTTGCTTTTAAAGGAGTACTGAAGAAGATAGTAATTTAAAGGAGGACCAGGTTATCATCATGTGGAGAGACAGCCTCTTGTGCACATAATTCCTTTATTTTAAACAAACAACCAAACAATTAAAGCCTCTTGTGACCACACGTACATGACAGATGATTTTCAGGAGTGGAAGAAGAACGTTCGATATTTATCTTGGAAAACTAACCAGGGATCATAACTCTTCTTTCAGATGTTTAACTCAGAAGTCAGGAGCACTCTCCAATGGTGGCTTCCCTTTTGTGCATGCAATTTATATCCAAAGATAGCTGCCCCGGATCATAATTAATAATTAAACTGTATTTAATCAACTGGCAGGATTACTTAGTATATTAGAAACATTTTTTTTCTTTTCTTTTTTTTTTTTAAGTCTTTGTAAATGTACCTAAGTGTGAAAACACATGTGAAAGCTCTTATCGTCAAAAAAGGAGCTCTGAACTCAGTCAGTCTGACAATGAACACCCTACTGTGTATATTTAAAGATGGACCTTAGCAATTTTATTTACTACAAATACTTTTGAGATTTCCCTGCCACAGACCTGCTATCGCTGTATAAAACAGCAAAGCAGCTGACGCAGTAATGTGCTGTAAATTTACCAGAACCAAACTGACTTTTCTTGAGGCATCCTCTATACACTTTGCACTCCTAATGTTTTAAACAGTAGGATTTGTCTTTTGACTTATTCTTTGACTTGCTTCAAAGAAGGAAAATTACACGGGTCTCCAGGTAAGATTTGCTGCCTTGCAGGACAAGTGTGAATCTGTAATCTCCACCTGGGCACAATCCTCTGAAGACAGTGCAGCTTGCTTTGCAGCAAGGAAAGAAGCCTGCGGACACACGGGGTTTATGCAATGTCCCGTTTTAGTTAGCCTTTTGGTGTTTACAACCATTCCAAAGGATATGAATGGAGGGTGTGCAGGTCTACCCTGTCCGCATCTTATTCACAGCTGCAAAATAATGAAAAGACATGGCAGAGGGATACTCTGGCTTAGGCAAGTCTGGATCCATCTCTGCTGAAGCTTGTGTCTACACTCGAACTCAATGCAGTGTTGGTCTAATGCTTGGTTTCAGATTTTGGCAACTTTCTACCAGGAAGCCAATACACATGCAGGACCAATGTTGGTATGCTAAAGGAAAATACAGTGGTTTTGATGCACAGAATCATGCTGACTAAGATGTTCTTGAGATAAGACAGCAGCAGACATTGCTATGGGAATCAAAGACTCCAGACTGCTGTGGTGATAAGGAGTGATTAGGCCAGTACATTCGGACACCACCACTGCAGATACTGGTGATGTTAAATTAAGTGCCCACTTGATGGCAGTGTCGGTCTGCACAGGCTGAATTTCCCTGTTCTCTGAGCTGGCAAGAAAGGCAAGTAAAGACATCAAAGCTTGTCTTACCTCCTCCCTCATCTTCTTAACTGTCTCACCTTTCTGTTAAAGAAACAGAAAAAAAAGTTAGCCTCGGCTGATGAAGTGAACTGATACACAATATTTTGACATGAAAATAAAGAGAGAAAGTAATTTCCTGACCTTTCCGATAATGCTTCCAACCTCCTGAAACAGAAAAAAAAAGACACTGTGAATGATACGGTTCGCTACAGAAGAGCATTTGTTCTGCTCCTAAGCTATTTCACTATCACTTATTTCAAACCTGCAACGTGAAGCACAGACCCCCTCCATTGTTGCTGTATACAAATATGCCATGTTAGATACAAAGGGGCGGACTAAAAATGTGCCTTTGCAGCTTACTGATTGTGCAGGAAAAATACCTTTAACAGAAACTGATCTTGCGGTTACAGATCAATCCTGCTACTATAAACACAGATAAACCCCTATCAGGGAATGAAAAGTTCAAAAATAATAGAACCGTACAACCTGCTAGAGAAAATGGGATATAATACAAGCGTCAAAATAATTGCTGATCTCTCCGAGGGCAGGCATTTACCCTTTTTACACCATGTAATAGCTAGAGCTGAATTTCCATGCTACCAAATGTTATTGTGTAAACACCTGGTGACCTGTCTTAATCTTCCTATTAACTACTTACAGAACAATAATTGCTAACCACTTTTTAGGGATTTGGGAATTGCTACAGGGGTCCCACAATCTTGCATGAAGGGACAGAAAATACTGAGAAATGTGACTTTGAACACACAATAGGGGAACAATTTGGCAGTTTTGGCAACATCCCAAGGGTTAAAAGCTTGGCGAATAAAACCAACAGGTAGCAAAAATGAAGCAAATAACTCTAAAATGAATAGTCTGGACATGTGATACAAATCACGGAGGTGTGACATCATACTGGAAATCACCTGATGGAGACCAGCTAAAGGAAAAGAAACTTCTCTCCTATATGCAGATTGTGAAATCTACTTCAATGGTTAAAGATTGTCTCACATAGCTTATCTGTCCCAGATATATGATATACCATTCTTCCTGATCCCATTCCCACAGTTCATATATTTAAGTCTCACCCATCTTGAAACACAGTCCTAAGAGTAAGATTTAAGAAATAGTCCTCCATTGCTCGATGCAATGAGACTCACGATAAAGTGGCACTAACTTCACTCTGCAGTAGAGCACTACCTCCAGTGACCTTGAGAGAGCTATTTCTCACCAGAAGGTTATTTATAAGCTCATAATATGAAGCTCCTTGTGCTTTCAACTTATTACATGCTGCTCACATGACTTTTCAGTGAGAAGAAGACCCATCTCAATGAAGAACTTTGGCATATTGTTCCTCTGCGCTCCCTGCAAGTCTGCACAGAACACCAGACTGAGGAGAACAGTCAATACACTGCTGCGATTTGAAGTCATCTAGACAGGCTAGATAAATGGGCTGCGAGAAACCTCAGGGAGTAGGACAAAGTCAAATGAAAAGTCTCATGTCTGGGATGGAACAAGCCTATGCAGCAGAACAAGCTGGGCAAGAACTTCCTACATACAAACTGGCTTTGCAGACAAAGTCCTGAGCGTCTCAATACACAACTCCGACATGAGTACATGACTGCACCAGCAGTGCATCCCTGATCACACAAACATCGGGCTGTAAGAGCAAGAGTATAGCCAGCAGGCTAGAGCAAATGATTCTTGCCTTTTCCTTGTGTTTGTGAGACCACGCTTGGAGGACTGTGTCCTGTTTTGGGATCCTAGTACAAGTCAGACAAGGACACACTGAAATGAATCCAATGCAGGGCCACCAAGATGGCCATGGGTCCAGAGCACAGGACATATGAGGAGAGGCTAAGAGAACTGCATTTGTTCGCCCTGAGGAAGAGAAGACTTGGGGGGATCTTACTGTGGCGTACAGTAAGGAAAGCAAGTCGCAACATCAAATTCTTACTTAATACGAGGAAAAAAAAAATCACCATGGGGATGGCAGGACATTGGAACAGGCAGCCAGAGAAGCTGTGGAGTCTCCATCCTTGAAGGTGTCCAAACCCAGCCTGGACAAGGCCCTGAGCAACCTGCTCCAATGGGATCTTCTTGATTCAGGAGATCAGACTGGAGACCTTTGGAGTCCCTTCCAAACTCCATGGGTCTGTGATTCTTCAAGCATGGCCTTACACCCTCTGAAGACAATGCCTAAATAGCCACAGAGTTCCTCAATCCAGTGAGGCCCCTTCTCAGGTTTATTTTCAAACTTTTTCTGTTTCCCATTTCCCTCTTTTATTTCCCTTCCTATGTCTCTTCCAAGATAGGATTCTGTTCCCTTGTACACACTGACCAGAGAACGGATATTGTCCAGACAGGCACTGAAAATCTTCCAGAGGTATCTGCTTTGCAAACCTATAGTTCTGCTGCCCGATTTACAGTAGAGCCTTACATGTCACACAGCTGTGCGACTGTTCTTGCTAAAGTTTAGTGTGTCCGTCTGGGGCTGTGAGGTGCCCGTACATCTGCACGCAAAATTCAGAGAAGCAGCTCTGTGCGAAGACGAGTGAATGAAGTGGACTCACTGCAGTTTTGTGTCTTGTGACCAAATTATTCTGTGCCTCTTAATACATGGGTTTAGGTCACACCTTTTCCTGTGTCTTAGGCAGCCGTACCAGCATGCTGTGTAGGCTCTCTAATGAGCTGCAGCTTTTTTGTTAGCAGTGACACAAATTTGGGTCACCCATTCCTCAAAATTTTTAAGATCTTACGGTATTTTTATATTATCACTATAACTCTGCCAACCTACCTGTAACTGTTGAATGGGATTAAACAATACAGAGAGTAAGAGTCTCAATGATGATAAGCCTTGGGAACCCCTAATGTCTAGTAGTTCCTCTCTGCCCACTCTGCACATTCAGCAGTTCTACCTTGAAAAGTTTTTCCATTCTTCTCAGTCCCAGCTTTCAGAAGTAATTTATTTTGTAAAACAGATTCTTAGGAGGTAGAAGGACCTTTTGCTATGGGTGAGTGTATTGTGTTTCAAATGCTATGGACAAGCAATCGTATTTCAGTCTGTAGTATAATTTCAGGGTTTTTTTATATCTGAAGTTTCATTAGTAGCTGTAGGCCTGGTCTTGAACCTGCAAGGCTCTGCCAGCATACACTTAGTACGAAATTTGTCCCAATTCATTTGATCATCCTGGGACTTCATGACAGATGCTGCCCTTTCAGAAATGTACAGATGGATCACGGCTAATATGTCCAGAGATATCTTCCTTGGAAATAGGAAAAGATACTTTAACTTTGGAAACAGAAAAGCAATATAAAGTTTATAGCCCTAGTAAAAAAGATGTCCATTTCAAACAAGGAAATTGGGAGTATTTAAACAAGCAGAGTAAAAGATATTAGAATTCTTAAACTGCTTGTTCCACTGCAGTCTCTGGGAGTTTTGCTATTGATTTCAGTGGGGACAGGAATTCTACCTGACTGATCATCACCTTGTTATTACCAAAGAGTACAAGCTGCCGAAGAACTGAGCGAATGAACAGTGTGAATCCCACTGAGAAAAAATATTTCAGTAAGACTGGTTCCTTGGAACATCCTAGCAAATGCCACTGTAATACTTCAAACCTTTCCCCCTTCAAAGGGTGAATTTAAAACCTATTCTATAAGGAGGCAGGTTTCAAAACATCCAAGCATATGCCATCTCTCCCCCCCTGCACTGGGGGCTGAGATTTTGCTTGGAAATGTGAAGGAAAGGTGCAGGGGGGAGAGAGGAACATTAGCTTCATATGAATATTCCAAATTTTTCCAGAATTTTTGATCCATACAAATCACTAAAAACCCCTAAAAATCTAGAGTTGTTCTAAACGGCTGACTTCATACTTTTTTGGGGCCTTAGCTTTTTCTAGGAAATCTTCCACAAGTACTGGTGACAACAGATCATGTCTTTAATTATGATGGGAAACCTACTTCAGCCACGGATTAAATCAAAAGACTCTTTACACCTTGTTCTCCAAACTACCAATGCTACTTCACTAAACCTTTAATATTCCTTTATACAGTCCAATATTTGTTTCATATAGATTCTGATATCACCCAAAATTACATTTAGTGCTTAATGAGATACTTAACATCATTTTTATGACACTCAAGTTTTATCAATGTTTCTAGCCAAGGTTACTTCGAGGGCTTTATCTTCTTCAGAAAATGTTTCTAAATCTGCCAGACTCCAAACTGTGCTGTAGTTAACTGCGTAAGACTGAAGGGATTGGATGTCTGTCACCTATATCAGTTCATTAAAAGTTAGGAGTCTAGTGTAAGCCAGACACACAGCCTGCTCTGCAGTCCAGGGAGAGAGATAATGGAGGATGTTTTGTTCCTAAAGGAGGAAGGAAGAAATGTACTCCCAAGGGTTTCATCTTTCTCCATCTGCAGCAGAAGAAGCTTAGATTGACACAAACATACCTGAAGTTTGGTGAGAGGAATCCTACAGTTCACGTCAAATTCAGCATCAGTGCAGGTCAGACAGCAGTTTGATTTAGCTGTCCTAGCAAATAATTGCCTACTAGAATACACTAACAACTCCTAAACTATTTGCTGTTTTCCAGTGCTGAGGAACATAAGCTAAAGGTAAGTATTTATGATCAATTTCAGACTGATTTATTGACTAGCCATCTACACGTAAACACAGTGGGAAAATAAGTTATATGATAACAATTAGTGGGTTTCACATAATCAGATTTCAATAGCTGATCGAAAAGAAGTGCACCAAAAAAAAAAAAAAAAACAAAACAAAAACATTATAAATGGGGGGAACTAAAGCTTAGAAGGAGAAAGACAGGTCCAAGGCAACCCGTCAGACTGATGCCAGAACTGAAAGTACTACCCCAAGCTGCTTGGCCCCAACATATCCAACATATGAACACTCACCTGTCAGAAGCAGATATGCCACAGCAACCATGCTGGATGAATAAGATGCCTCTAAAAAGTTGCAAGTGTGTGTGTGCCTACATTCACTTATCAACATGCATACATACACACACACACACATTTATGCATTTGTTTGTGAAGTCAGTATATACATACAGGCACTAAATAGATAGATATCAACTTTCCTTCAAAAAATGACAGCAATTTGGGGTGCCTATCCTGAGACTCACCAAAGAGGCCTGAGTTTCAGATTATGCTGAGTACCCAGCCCATGTAATGACTTCCAAAGGGCATATCCCCAGGTGACAGTATCTCAAGAAGGACAGTCTCACACTTGGACTTCAACATTGTCACTTCGGAAAACCCCAGGAAAATTTGAAATGTACATTCTGATTTCAGATAGCCTGAAAATAAATGCTCAAGCCTGGGGGGTCGAGTTGATTTATGACTATGATTTTTTTTAGTATGCCATTTCTAACAAAATAGATAAAACAACAAGAGGTACATCTCACCAACAAACACTGGAAGATTGCTCAGTATCAACAAAATATATTTGCTAGCCAACCACCCAATTCATCGCAGATAACTTGAGGAAAAGCAGTGGTAAAATCAGGAGATGCCTTCTATCATGCTGAAATGCAGCATATAATGTTATTTGGACATCTTATTCACATGAATGGGATGAGTTTTGCTCTTAACAAGCGCTTGGGGAGTGGTGGGCCCATCAAAGAGCAGAAAGCTATTTCTGCAGTTTTTGCATCACATGTGGCGAGGGCAAGGCATCACCAGCTGAACAAAAGGTGGCAGCAGAGAAGTCTGTGAGCCAAGGCTTTCACAGGGCTCTTGATGGTGTGAGTGACTAAACAAAGACATAAAACAGGCCGTAGGAGAAAGCTGTTTCCTAATTAATTATGTAGTGTTCCTTTTGAATAACAAAAGAAAGAAATTTGTCATGTTAATAAAACAAGACGCTTAACAAATGGTAACAAATCTTGGTTTAAAGATTAACCTTTGATCTGTAAACATAATATGTGAAATTCCATCATTTTTCTAAGTATGAGGCTAGTTTAATAATTATTGCATTGCAGGAAATCAAAACAAAACAGGTAGCTATTCCAGGATTGGAGAAAAGCACAGGCATTGCTCTATTACCACAGGGCATGCAGCTTCTATTATCAACGCTATGGGGCAAATGAACACTAACCTCACAGGAGACCTGAGATAAAGCCATGTCTAGAAGGAAAACATGTTTAAGAAATAATATAAGAATATATACTTTCACCCTGGAGCATCTGACAAAGCACAGGCTACATCCTAAAGCCTGCAATTCATTCAGGCAATGCTTTGATTGCACACACTTACCTGCTTTCTATGAGCAAGGGTAAGGTAGAACCAGTAGGACTGGACTCTACAAAAAAAAAAACCTGCTAGAAAAACACTGAAAGGAAAGAAATACAGCCTTCCATGGTGGGGAAGCACATCCATCAATGAGGGATCCTGGCAACAGCAAACAACATCTGCACTAATAAAGCTTTCTAGACCAGCGCTAGTTTTCTTTAACCCATCCATAAAGAGGCATAACATACCCCAACTTTTTCTCTTTGCCTTGTTCTGAGGATAGAGTTGCCAAGACTTGTATAAACTCACGAATACGCTTGCATGGAAGACCCCAGAAACGTGTTCCATGAAGATGTTCTGAACAATGTGCTTGCACAGAACACGTGGGGCATCAGCATTTTTCAAAGACTGGACGAAAAGTCAGTTTTGGGAAACATGATGCAACGTGTCTACCTCAGGGAACAAATGGCTGCCTTGGATAAACTGAGAGTCTGATTTGTGTTCTAGGATTATGTGGGATTAGCCTCACTGACATGGGAGATTTTACGTTCCTAGGTGATGCTTCAGTAATCACTGTTTGATGCTAACAGCCCTAATTTAGTAAGGGACTGCAATCCAAGCCCTTACTGAGACAGATATCACGCTAACAAATGTGATAGTGTACAAGGGAGCCTTCAAATTATGGTCTTTCTGATGGAGATGTCAGTGTTATGAATCTTCCACAGGTCTATCTACCTTTTTTTCTGGGCAGCTGTTGCAATGGGGATTTCTCATTTGCTTTCTGATAGGAGATGGGTAAGCAATTTGCATTCAATTTCACATCAAACCTCCCAGGTTTCCCCCCAAAAACCAAACCAAAAACTGGTTCTGTTCCTTTGCTTGTCCCTCTGCCTGTGATGCTGAAGTAGCAGCACTGAGTAGGGTGTGTGCCTTCTGCAATCTCAGTTCATTACAGTTGTGGACCGATGAGGAGATTGATTGAGAGAAGTGGGAAAATTCTGCTATGGGGATTGTTTTGGGGGACATACAGTGGCCAGGGCCTGAGGTAAAAGACCTCTGTCTTTTCTGTTGATTTTTTAGACTAGTGAGAAACTTTCAGCTGTTACTACACACACACTAAGAGGAGATCTATTTTGTGTATTTGCACGCAGAGTTTTGTTCCATGATTAGAGCTCTTAGGTACCACAGTAATGCAAACAAACAAAACAAGAACTATAATAGCAATAGGCAGGACAGTCAATCCTCATAATACCCTGACAGTGTTCGTGGAAACTAGAAAGAACAGAACAAACATTGGCTTGGTTGGCATTTTACAGCTTGGATTACATTACTGACAAAGTGATTGGTAAAGCTACTTTGTTGTATTCTGTATTTTAATAAGTAAAAAATAAAATAAAAAATGGGGAAGGAGAAGGCCATTACCTTCAATATGGGGGAAAATTATTTCTGTGCTTGCTTTACAGTCTTTCAGGGGGCAATTAAGCAGGCACAAAAAAGTGGCCACTAAAAGAAATCCCTGACGCTAAAACTATATTATTTATACTAATGAAAACTGCAGTTTTCTCCATGATTTTATTCGGTCTATATTTGAGTTGTTAAGTGTGAGCAATCACCTTAATGAGTCTAAATTTTCTTTCTTTTTCTTGTAAAAAAATCTGTATATAGCATCATAAAATAGTCACCAACATGTCCGAAAATCACCACTGAAGCTGGATGTAAGTCCGCTGTAACCAGCCCTTCCAGCAGCACAAGGCACCCATTCATCCTGCTGAAACCACTGGGAGATAGAGCTCCTCAGGGCATCTAAAATTAAGCTGCAAGTACTGGAAGTTTAGTGCCTAAAAATCAAGGCATTCATAGGGTTTTCGCCAAACCTGAACATTTGACTGCAGGTACATTTTTCTGATTCATTAATTCTGAACATTTGAGAAACATATAATTGAGCAAATGGTATCAGGGAAGGAAAAGCTCCACTCAATCATTGTATCTTTCCTCCATCAACGCAGATTATACATTCTACACAGGATATGTGCTGGTCTTCCCCAGACATGTTTAAAATCTGTTTAGAGACTTCCAGAACCTCACAAAAATTGTCATACCAGGAATTTCTCTTGGGATTCCCTTATTAAGATTTATGTTCAAAAACATATTTCATCTCATTATTTCCAGTTACAAGCAGTTGTATCACTCAAAATAATGACACTCCATTACACTTGTATTTATTCTCTCCAGGTATTTATGAGAATGTCTGAAGAAAGCTAGACACAGTCTCCTCAGTCTCCTAAAACTTTGTTATTTTTCTGCGAATTCCCCCCCTGCTCAGTCTTCAATATCACTCACACACATGGCACCTGCTGCTGAATACAGAATCACAGGTGTGATTTTGTCAGAAGAACAGTAAGGTAATTACAATCTCTTTGCCCCACGATGCACCAACGCTATATATCCAAAATTGCATATGCTTTTGCTGCAATAGTTTTCCTCTCCAACTCAGCCTATCCCAAATGTGCCACTCTCTAGACACTGCCACATCTGATGCCTTTCAGCTTTTTATGCTTTCCAGATTTCCTTCTCTCACTGAACATGTACCTTCTAAATCACCTTCTCCCGTTAATTGCCTCAGCCCTCCAATTTACACCTCAGTATTTGGCAAGAGTCCTACTTCCCAGTCATCTTTCCTTTCCCTCCTTCATCCCACCTGTAAATTACTTCCTTGTTCTTTCTAACCACCCGACTTTATTATTCCATTTTGTTTTCTATTTCTGAACTCTTTCCCTTTTCTCTAGAAGATTCCCCAGACTCTGCGTATTACTATATTCTACTTTGGTTTCGGGCAGACTTCACTGCACCTGGTAAGGTTTCATCGATGCACACCTTTGTGCAGGGCCTTTGGAAATGATGCATTTTTTCTTCTGCAGGTCTGTACTGGAGGGAAGAAGCAGAGACTCCTGTGCCACCACCATGAGAAGCAGACCAAAGTGGATTCGTGACCCTGCTGACCTTTTCCATGCCAGCTCATTTGAACATTTTGTCCTGTTCACCTCATGGACCTGACTTTTAAATCTCCATTAAACTGATTTTCTGAAATTTAACATTTTTCTACCAGCACAGTCTCTTTACCACCCACATCTAAAATTAACCTCTAATGGTGAGTCTCTAGGGTCTTAACCAGACCGTTAATACTGGCTGTGTACAAATCCAAACCAGTCCAAAATCATGTAATCGTTATCCAGTATAGTCAAAGTAGATGATTTTTCAAGGGTTATTTCATTCTGGGCACAAACTGACAAAAACTAGAACAAGAGCACTGCAGATGTCAAATACTGTGGTATCTTGGCAGACACCTGGGGGCAAGACTACAGTTTTCCACAATCTTCCAATCTCATTACCTGTGGCAGTAAGCAAGAAAAAAAAAACAGCCACAAGCCATGGGAATAAAAAAATTCAGTGAAAGCTGAGCAAGGAACGGTAAGAGAGAAACATCGAGCCCCACCAAAGACCCTATAACATGCAGATAGCCAAAAGAAGTTTGATTCTGACAAAAATCTAAAAAGGAAGAACAAGTGAAAGGCACATTTCTTTTGGAGCCTGAGTCCTATCTCTCCTTGCAGAGAGCTCTGATAGATGGGGACTGTTAGCCTATGAATGTACATACACTCTATTTGTGTTCCTCAAGTCCTTCAAAAATGTTGATCTGATCTGGGTAAATGCTGCCACTTTTGCCTTCACTGGAAGCAGAAATCTTGCAACCCCTACAATGTTTTAATCCTGCCCAGAGATTATACTTCGACAAAGATAACAGAATATCCATACCCATTCATGTCTCTGCCCTACAAGGGGGTTTTACTTATTTTACTTCAAGAAACAGCAGGAATTAGATGGAAAATACAGAAGCAGGGCAATGCAAACAGCTCCAGTCCATATTCCCTGTTTTTCTGTACCGAAATGCATGAAACAGATTTATTCTTAATGTGGCACATCTTTCTTATTAATAACAGATGCAAATGCATGTCTGCATTATTTAATATACCCTATATATCCAACTCCTGCACATGCTTCAAAAGGCTCTTGTGTTCCTGCCCTTTTTGGAGCAGCATTCAGATAACTTAGTCAAAAAGGTCCCAAGAAGCAGAGGCTGCAGTGCCGTGGCAGCTTTATGGGATGTATTAACTTTTGTCTAACTTGTCCTTAAAAACCTCCCGTGATGGATGGCGGCAGCATGACCAGGCAGCCTCATCTTCTGCTTACACATCCACAAGAAGGCCAGAGAGGGACTTTTTACAAGACCATGTAGTGACAGGAGAAGGGGTAACAGTTTTAAACTGAAAGAGGGTAGATTCAGATTAGATGTAAGGAGGAAGTTCTTCCCTGTGCGGGGGGTGAGACACTGGAGCAGGTTGCCCAGAGCAGCTGTGGCTGCCCCCTCCCTGGAAGGGTTCAAGGCCAGGTTGGACGGGGCTGGGAGCCCCCTGGGCTGGGGGAAGGGGGCCCTGCCCGGGGCAGGGGGGGTGGAACTAGGTGATCTTTAAGGTCCCTTCCAACCCAAACCGTTATGTGATTCTGACACAAGTTTTTCCTAATTTTGCTTTTAAAATTCCCTGCAAACAGAGTCAGTTGCTTCTCTGTGGATGTGAAGAACATCTGAGCACTGCCCTTGGAGTGTACTCCCCAACACTTGCCCTCTAATTCATCCCAAGAAAGTATGACAAATGTTTTGTGTTGCTCCTGGTTTCTCTTCAGGGCTGTCACACTATCATGACTTTTTTACCGATGTAACATGGCGCAAGATGAAAATTAGGCCTTTCATCTTCCACCATCACACATTCTCTGAAGTCCTGGCTCAGGAGGACACCTTTCATATCAAGCCCTGGAAACATTTCCCCTGACACGAACCTTTTATAGCTCGCAGTGGTTAGCTTTTTGCTCGGCCCACACAAGCCTTTCTGCTGCTTCTACGGATAAAAAAATTGCTGCCCTCCCTTAACACCACATTTTCTGCCCCGAGAAAATTCAGGCTGTGCCTTGCCTCGTTGCCAGCCAGCTGCTCCCAAATCTTGCTATGTTGCCCAAGAGTGGCGGAGCTGGTCCTCCAGCTGGCCACGCCAGCCTCTTCGATAGGAGGCTGCACAAAGCCCTGCCGGAGCTGCGCTGGACCTACTGCCGCTTCTTTCCCCAAAGCAAGGTAAAGCAGAGGCGATGATGAGGGGTGCCCCTTCTGTGGAGAGGCACTGGCCCTGGGTTTTCCTGGAGCTCAGGGCTATTCCCATCTGTTCTCCTTTCACCAGACACTAACGTTGTCTTTGATTTTTGCCACTTGTTTTGTTCGTTGTTGTTAAAGATGCTTTTTTATTCCCTACCCTTTTGCAGAGGTCTATCCATTCATACAAATCCTGATATTCTGTCTGCAGATACAGAATTTAGCTTAATTGCCTAATTAAGATGTCCGTCCATGACTTAAAGCCCCTATACAAATCACATGAAAATTACACGCTGAAAATTTCCAAAGTGGAAGGATTTACAGTTGAGATAACTAAGCGCAGTAGCGCAAGTTACGGACTTTCAATCAAAATGAATGCAAATATCCCAAAGCACGTAGACCTTCCCTGTGCAAAGGTACACTGGTAATAATCGTTTAGAGACAGTGATAAGGTTAGTGAGGACAGACCCTCATATTTCCATGAAACACACTAATAAATAAGTAACTTTTAAATTATTTTATTTTAAAATTATCTAACTGAATCCAGTTTGCTACTGTTATTTTCAAAACAACCTTTTCAATTCCTCTCTTCTAAGTTGTGACCAGTTATTTACAGCCAAAGCTCTGCTTCAGTTAATTGTTTTGTCTAGAAATACTAATTAGAGATCAGCATTTCCACCAATATCATCAGCACAGCAAATCTTAAGGAAGAGCATAGAAACATGTTTCTTTCTCTTTTTCAGAGGCACATACAGCTTTCAGAGTGACCTTCTCACACTGAGTTCATACTGACTTAAACATCCTTCATCCCTCTATATTATCATTTCTAAATCACAGAAATGACATCAAAGAAACCATAAAGGTCTGACTTTTATCACTAAAATAAGTTCTCATTTAATGTACTCTTTGCAATACTTAGTCACAATAGGATACATGATTAGAGCATAGTAGACTTAACTGTATACCCATCGTGCCTTGTTAACTGAGGATGCATGGTATATTCACACTTAAAATTTGAACTTTGCAGCTTTTATGGGTTTAATTTAGACCCCTGGGGCTACATATGCATTAAGATTGGACACATAACATCCATTATTGTTAGAAGTGGTTGCACACACAATCACTGATGTTTAACATAGAAAATTAGCTTTTTCTAATTTAATTTCCAATTTAAAAAAAATTTTTTGTTTCAAAAAACCCCCTAGCCCACAGTTTAACTGAAATGTCCTGATAATGACAGATACTTGATTTTTGCTTTAAAGGCATGATTCTGAAAGAAGCAGAGCTGTCTGACAGCTGTTAAAAAAAAAACACGCCTAAGTACATGGGCATTTGACTGAAACCAGTGGGGCTACTTATACCCACCAGGATAAGGATGTGTTCAAATGCTTTTCTGAATTGGGACCGGAACCCAGTAGAATCAATCCCTGAGACCTAATTTTAAGTGCAGACATGCATACAGATTTTAGGTGGGTTTAGTAAAAGAGACTGTTATTAAATTTGCTTGACAGATCCCTATTTAAGATGCAGATTTTACACACCAGATGCCTGCCTCAAGCTGAATATTTCATGGGAAAAAAATCAAAGAAAATTGTTAGATCGTTTCTGAGAAAATACATCATTTGATCTGACATAACTTAATTTCTGAGTTTTTTAATTTGAAAACTTAAACTGTACCCCTTACAATTCTTAGCATCTCCATAAGTGAAGTACAGAGGGAGATATCTTAGTCTCCTATTTGTGCTAGGGGTATATCATGTGTCTTCATCCCATTGGTTGAAAACATGCACGGTTTTAAAATATAAATGTACTTTTAGTTATTAAATTAATTCTAAGAGTAAAAATACTTTTTAGATTTATATACACAAATTTGATTTCCAGAATGAGCTATACATATATTCACTGTTCTTGTTAAGAAAGAGCCAAACCCACCTCCTTTATACAACATTCATCCATTAAACCTAAAAATGCCTGGTGCTGCCTGATGGAAATAACACAAACCAACCCTTGAAATGTGTTTTTTAATTAAAAGCCCATTTTGTGATCTGGCAATGTGAAACAAATGGTTGTTAGACTGTTAAGTCTGACAATACTGAATTGACACTTTGTCTATGGCACAGATTTCACATTTATCTGCATGCTTAAGTGCTGCGCTGGACAGAAATGAGATGACAGTCAACCTTCCAAAACAAACTCGCAGGGGACCTGGACAAATGCTTGGTATATCAGGGGGTTCGCTCTAGTAAGATGCTGCATTGGAATAACAAAGAACTATCCCATTTTCATTCAACAGAAATAGACAGTGATTCTGTGGCAATTATTTCACACAAGTCAAAATCCTGGTATCTTAAAAAACCCCTGCAAAATCCAGCAAATTACAAGAAAGGCGAGCCGTATGCAGGTCAGCCTTACGCAAGGGTCTGCCTAATTTGGCTATCAGTGAAAGAACTCTCTTTTTGCTGCTGGATCTACTCAAAATGGTTCGTTACAGGCAGGGTTTGTTCCAATGAACTCAGGCTACAGTGCAAACTTAAGTATGATGCCTTGAAAGGCAGGGGCTGATTTTTCAGTCTTGGCAATGGTGCTTTTGACTCAAGTCGGAGGAGGAGGAGCAGACCCTCTGTCAACGCCACTGTCAGGCTCTGATGGTAACCGCACACACTCACTCAATACACAGGCAACTGCTGGGGTAACAGTGAATGCTTCACCTTGCCATGCATGAGAAGGCGTATGGTAAGCGTGACATTGAGACCTCCTTCAGTCACTTTTGTGTCCTTCGTGTTCATCCTGGCCTCGTATCTTCAATACTTGAAAGCAGCTTCGTTTTCCTCTTTTTTTTTTTTTTTTAATTATATATAGTCACTTAATCAACCTATAAAGAGAGAGAGAGAAAAAAAGAAAAAGTACCATTGAGTGGCTGAAGCTACTCTGAACTGAGAATATCATGTTGAAGAAACCAATTAACATTTCTCCCTTTGATTTTCTGGACTACAGTTTAGTGCTGAAAAGACTCCTTTGATTATTATCCCTCCCCAACCAACTCTTTTAGCCCTTCACCAATTACAAGATAAACTCTCTTTTGAAACCTTAAAAATTCTTTTAACTTCCTGCATTTTGAAACTGAAAGTACAGAGCACAACAGAGTGAAATACAATGTTTTCTTCTGAACAGCACTTTCTCTCTGTTAAACTCTCTTGTGTGTATATGCAATATATATATACATTTTTACACCTGTCTGATGCTGTTTTCATTTCTCTCCCTGTTACTACCACTTTCTCTTTTTGCTCTTGCAGAAGAGATATTTTTGTTTTCTCTCCAGCTAGAGAGAAATTAATTCTGAGCCTAAACAGTGATCCCTGCCAGCAATAGCGGATGACACATTATCAAAGACATCTGAGTAACTAAGAGCCACTTGCTGCTGCAAATCTGGGCACTGTCTGACTTTGTTTCTGTCTACCAGGCCCAGAGGTGGCTCAGACACTCAAAGGCCAAAGCTGAACTTCCGTCCGAAGTAGAAGGAGATTTTTCTGTATTCCTAATGACCAATTGCAGATTTTCAGTCATTTACAAATGCACAAATATCCTAAAATGGTAATGAAAGATGCAAAGGCTGGCTTTGAAGGGATAAACAAGATGCATTATGAGCTTATTAATGCAAGGACAATTATCAGTACAAACAAAAATGGGGGCAGGAAGGAGTATTACCAAGGGCAGACAAATTCCACAGTAGAAAAGGCTTAGAGACTCCTTATTCGGTTTTGTCCTTTTCAGGCATATCTTACAGAGCATAAAACCCATAAACAGATATTATGCCTCCCTTATTAATGGCAACCTTAATAGCTTCGCGTCTTGGGGCTTCCCAAAAATTTGGCTAGCTTGGCCACTGGCTAATGAGGACCCCTAGGGACAACCTTTTTGTGGCTCATAGCGTACAGCAGTATCTCACTGGGGTGGCAGGCTGCTGTCCCCTTGCAGATACTGCTCAGGCATGGGATCAAACTACCAGAGGGACCTACGAGACCATTCCCCTAAAAATGCTGGAGGAAGCATCAAGCAAACCGTTTCATCAACTGATTAAGCTCCATCTATAGAGCCACCAAGCACCGTCACACTACACCAAAGTAAAGCCCAACTTAGTTGACCATGTTATGTGTGAGAGAAGTGAACAGCAATGCTTGAAGAAGGAGCACAAGAAACATGTCTGGAGTCATCCCTGGTAGACGCGCTGAGCTGCCAGCAACCAGCAATTCATGGTCTTCTGGGAGACTGCATCCAGGCCAGCATTTTCAATAGCCATTGGTGGACCACTCCTCCATGAATTTGTCTAATCCCTTCTCGAATCCATACATCTGGTCTCTAGAAGTTCTGGTCTCACACATTAATTATTGGCTTGGGGAAAAGTGCTCTACTTTATCTGGCTTAAGTCTGCTGACTCTCATTTCCCCTTGTTACACATTTTGCCCTCTGTGTATTATCTGTAGATCATCCCAGAAAGTCACTCGTCTGATGGTTGATGCTTCTCAATTCAGCCTGAGACTGCGGGTGGCCAAGCCACTCCTGATGGTTTTGCTGCTGGGAAATACACTGGAAGATTCAGTTTTCTCCCAAGTCTCTGCAGAGAGCTGCTGTGCCTTCACTGACTGAAAGAGTAAGAGGCAGACATACCTCAGAAGAAAAATTAGCTCTCTCCCAGCTGAAGCCAGGACAGAGGTGAAAAGAAAGAGGGAGAAAGAGCAACTTCAACTCCTCCTTCCTACAAGCAAATTCATTAATCACTCCCACAGAGTAGTTCCCGCCTACCTGCTCCGTTGCCAGGGCTGATTTTCCCTAATCCAGCATGGACTCAGTGTATTTCATACCATATGCTCTGCCACCCAGACCACAGCCACTGGAAAAAATCCCATTTATTCCATATTTATGGGTTTATCACTTCCATTACATATCACCTATCCAGATGGAGAAAAGCAGAAGAGAAGCAAGGTGCCTGAGCTGAGAAGGCAGAAAAGAGAAGCAGCCTGGCCATGCCTTTGATGAACCTCTGAGGGTAAGAGGAAAATGTCCCAAAACAGCTTGTAGAAAATGTCAGAGAAAGGCTGTATTCTGCTTCTTGAAGGTTAGACCAGGACTCACAGTAAAATCTGCAAGTGGGTGGCCACAACAGTCCCTTCTGAGAAGCGAAGAGGGAGAAGCAGAGGAGAAGATTGTGGCTGTTCCCAGACTAAGGAAGGGAACGATCCCATGGTGCTCACCTGCCCCTTGCTGCTTGCTGAAGGTAATGCTCTGGCAATACAGCCCAAGCATTTTTTGCTCAAGTCTGTCAAAAAAAAAAAAAAAAAAAACCAAACCCAAAATCCAAAGCCCACAAAAAAGCACAAACCAAGTCAACCAACCAACCAAGCAAACAAAAACAAAAAACAAACCCCCAACATGCCAAACAGGAGCACTTTGGCAGATAAACAGTAGAATACATTTTGGCATTCTGAACTTTACGGGAGCAATACTGGCCATTTGAGATCTCTAGAAACCCATCGTAGCTTAGGGCATGCTTGGAAGATTTCACATAATGGATGTGTTCCAAGTAGAAGCAAGGTATTTAAGACCTTCTGTGTACCAAAATTTAGTGATGAAGGTACAGCTATGTTTCTAACAAAATGTATGCCCATGTGGGAAAAATAATCCCAGACTAGATGCAGGTTTACAGTTGCCATGGCCTTTTACTGCTGTGATGCTACAACAGTATGCTCACTTTGGGAAAAATTTTGGAGGAAATCCTTTTCCCAGACAACAAAACAACCCCCACCCAACCCTGACCTTTTCCAGATGAAACCTATTTTTAGCTAACGTCTTTTGGGTTCTTTTTAAAAACAGAAGTTAAAATTAAATTCCACCCCAAATATTGTTAAAAATATCACTGCCATCTAATTTTTTTGATGGATTTTGTCTTTGCCCCTCCTCCTGACAAGCTCAAACTCTGGCACCTGGTACTGAAAAGCAGAACAGATGTCTGGGGGAGGGCTGAGAGCGTGTGTGCCTGCAAGGAGTTAGGCAGCTGTGTGAGATACAAAGGGAATGAATTTAAAAAGGCAACCTCACATGCTAAGGAGTAATACGTGAAACCTGTACATATACAATAGAGAGAAGAGTTTTTACTATGCTAGGTCATTTACCACTGCCCCAGTTGTCCTGAGAGTTGAAGTATTCTGGTAAAACTTTTACATCTTTATAAAGTAAGCCTACAGGACTGTTAATTATCTGAGTATTTCAGTTTTAAAGACAGATTAAAATAAAATGCATTGTTGTACGTTATTATTTTTGACTAATTAAAGCAAATTTTTCTGCAGGCATCACTGCAAACACGTGCTGGTCTAGATCTCTGTGTGCACGGAGGTGTCAGATCACAGCACACGGAAGAGAATGGTTTCCTCTACAAAACATCCTACCAGCCACCTATACATCCATGTATTTATAAACCTACTGCTGTAATAAATGAGCACATCATGAATATTTAATCAGTAAAATAATTTCCCTCTCCTTTGCAAAATTGGCATTTTGGACTATTTACTATGTTCCTGGCTTATGTGTGCCTCTGTAAGCAGACAGAAGGCTAAATACATATGGCTGTGTGAGGAGGTCCCGTGGCTACTCTGGGAGCTGGGAGAGTTGAGTCTCAGACTATAAAAAAGATCAACGTGTCACACTTTTCCTGACGCCAGAGGGAAGTCAGGGGACTCCACAGGTGAGCAGAGAATATCCTGCAGGCAGACACAGTCCATGGCATGGCTGAATGTTAAGGAGCGAGGGTTTATGCATTTTACCCTGCCTTCAGCAGAGAGCTGGCAGAAACAGGAGGAGAGCTGGACAACATCCTCCTTCTGACTTTGGGACTCTGGACCAGAATGCACAAAAGCCAAGATCTGGGGCTCTGCAGCTTCAGGTAACAAGCAAAAAAAGTCATGCCCAGGGAACAAAGGAAAGTAGATTACATCAGATAGAGAGATCCCAGCAAACAGCAGAACTTTGCATCCTGAGGGGCTGAGTGTGAACTTTTGAGGACATTTCCACTGCTGTTTATCGTGTAAGAAGTGAAAATTTATCTTTAGGTAGAAAAAATCATCCAAACAGATTAAAAAAACCCCCAACTTTTTGAAAACTCCAATAAAATGGACATATAGTCTTATGCAAATGCCTTTTACCTGTAGTTACGTGTTTCTATACATTTTCAGTATTAGCTATCCCAAGCTAGCATAAAATGATATGTCCTACCTTTACGCTCACTATTCATTACATAAGGACCATCAATCTTCTAACATGACTTTTCAATAATTGTTAATAGGTTAAGTGACTAAAACAACAAGCAGATAAGCCACGTGTTCAACAGACTACTGCAAAGAACAATACAGTTCCTCAAAGATTTCAATGAATTAATCAAAGCTGCAAGATGAACTATACGGCCAAAGGACAGTGCCACAACCCACACACATGCACACACACGGAGGTTAGGAATCCACGTGGCTGAGGGGGTAGTGTGAGATGGCTGCCTGAAGCCTGAGACATGGAAAGTCAGCCTTATGATGCCCTTTCTTCCTACTCCTCAAGTGTACTAATTCCCTCCCAAGAAAATAAGCAGTCCATTGCAGAGAATGTGGCTATACAGTGCTGAACAACATATGTATATAAATATATATATGTATGTTTTAAATCTCTAAGGTGAACACTCCGGGCATGAAGGATAAGAAAGCCTTTGACTCCACAGCAGGCAGAAATGTCAAAGATGAATAAAATCAACATAGTACCAAGGTAGACATCAGGCAATTGATCTCTGAGTTTAAAGCCATAATGAATTATTTGACATCTGTGAATCTGCCAAGAAAG